TGCTGAAACTGACCAGCGCTGACTACAGGAAGCCCAAGGCAGAGTTGTTCTGTCCCGGGCTTCCTGGAATCAGCTGCTGATCAGTTTCAGCAGCAGCTGACTTGGGGACGCTTGGGGTTCTTAAGTTGATTCTTTATGTAAATCAGAACTGGCGGTCAGTTTCAGCAGCGGCTGAATCGGGACGCCAGTTCCGACTTACATACAGATTCAACATAAGAACAAACCTACAGTCCCTATCTTGTACTTAACCCAGGGACTGCCTGTATCAGAATATCCCTCATAGAAACTTGAAAAAAATGTGTCCATTCTGGCATGGGCCATAAGGAGCCAGTTCCGACTTACATACAAATTCAACTTAAGAACAAACCTATAGTCCCTATCTTGTACGTAACCCGGGGACTGCCTGTATCAGAATATCCCTCATAGAAACTTGAAAAAAATGTGTCCATTCTGGCATGGGCCATAAGGTCAGAGGGAGAGGAAAAGAAGGTACAGAGCCTAAAAATTCCTTATAATCCTTTGCAGGGACCTTCAACAATCACAGCTTTAATCTAGTGCCACTGGGCTAGGCTCCTGAATGGGGGTAAAGTGAAAATGAAATCATGGCCTCAATACCCTTCATGGTTCCCAGGGGAGCTGCTGTACACTGCACTGTTTCTAAGAGTGACAAGCTCACTCCAGCAGCTGCAATTGCCTTTAGACTCTTTTCCCCTCTACTTTGGAGGAATTCTGGCTAGTTTCAAACAGAATTCCCTCTGGAATGTCCACTGCTACATAACTGATCCTTACTCATAACCTATGTTTTAAAGGAACAATGTGACTTTTAAAAAGTGAATGATCCTATGCAATATATTTTATTTCAGATCTTTTCTTGGAAGATAAAATTACAGTAAGATGTTTAATGTAATCTCATACATTATGACTGTTCAAATCAGACAAAAAGTTAATAAAAAATTATATACTTTTACCATGGGAAAGGCTACATGTGACAGCCGCTGCCATTTTTTGAGGACATGTTCCACCTTTCCAGATGTTTTTTTCACACAGCAGTATATTTTCTTCATCACCATGGCAATGTACATCACTCCAATAAACAGGGATAAGACCCAGTCCAGAAAATGGTGCATGCTTTGCTGTACCACTTTTGCTGAGGAGGAAAAACATTAGCATTGGATATTAGGAAAAATAGTTGCAAAATATTTGTTTGAGATGCCTACTCACAAATACATGCAGTGAAGTGCAAGTCCTGGAGCATAGAGAAAAAGTCTTGCTTGGCAAGAAAAAGTTGCAAGGCAGAATCCTTGTCTGCAGATAGTCGGGATGTTCATGTATTTGGGCCCTCACTACTAATACAGGATAGGAAGAGGAATACCAAATGTAGCCTTTTTTCTCACTGCAGTAAGATGGTTTGGTACAGTGGAGCCATAGTGCACATAGACCAATTGGGTCTGCATGGCCTCTAACCCAATCACATTCCCCTCTTCCATATTCTGAGTGGCAGAGACCAACCACAGAGATCTCTCCCATAGGCCACAGAGTGCTCTTATTCCACCACTTAGATAACACAGGTTTAAGTGTATGTCTACACTGCAGCTGGGAGCAACCCTGCAAGGCTAAGTAGACAGACTTGCACTAGCTCAGCTTGAACTAATATTCTAAAATAAGCAGGGGGACACTGAGGGTAGCCGCTTGAGCTCAGGCTCGCTTCCAGCTGCAGTGTAAACATATCCAAAGCTGCTTCTGTCCCTTATGTACCTCTACAGGATGCCCAGGATTTGTTCCATGGAGTGCCATAACTAGGTATTTTTGTACCTGGCACAAAATATTATGTGCCCCTTCTCCTTAGGTTAGCATGCATAACATGCTTTACTTTTGCAGCTTATTATTTTTACTTATTGCATTTTTGCGCCCTGGTTATGATGCACCCAGGGCAAGCGCCCCACTTGCCCTGCCCTTGTTACAGCCCTGGTCCCATAAGTAAATGAACTTTGCAAATGAGGAAAAAGCAGACAGTGTAAGGTCAGAGGATCAAATTTATGGAGGTGCTGGGCACCTGAAGAACACCCAGACCACTTACATACGGCCCAAAGTTTGTGCCATGACAACATAAGCATGCATACTTTTCCACTCTTAGTTGCATGAATTCCTATTTTTAGTCAGTTTTGTTTAAGTGCTTCTGTCACCAACACTAAACTTTTCTTGCTGATAAAGAGCCTATGCAAACAAAGTACAGTACCCAGAGTGCTGAAGGTAAGAACAAGTTAAAATGAAAACAGGATAAAGAAATACTGCACGTAGGCAGCTGAAACCATAAGCAAAATCACAGTCTCCAGATGGGCTGAACTTTTATCTCCTCTAAGCTGCATATTTTTATAAGTTGGCTTGGTGTATGCAGCTTAACAGTAGACATTCCAAAACAGCTTAGATTCAGATCTGACTGGCACTCTTAAAAGTAGAATAATCACCAGAAATGTCAGAGTGAAAATATTGCATGTTAACACCTAGAGCCAGTAGCAAACAAGGACTTTTGATGTACAGCTGAAACAATGCCATAAAGGCAATAAAGCCTCCATATTTTGGAGTTACTATGTATGGTAAACTGAATGGGATGTTGAGATGATTCTAGTAATTTGATTGACTGATGCACACAGCATTGATTCTTTAGAAGCCTAAATTACATTATCCTCAGGGGGGAAATCCATACATTTATGACCATTTCTCTCTAACCCTTCATCTTGCAGCAATTGCCATATCTGTATAGGTACTTCCTAGAGATAAATGACTGGCTAGGTTTAATGGAGCATAGTTCACATCTTCCTAGTGATAATTTATCCCAGAAAATATTCTGAACAATATTACTTAATTAATCAAACCACTAGGGACTACTCAAGGCATCCTACTGAGTATGATATGATAGTTACCCTGCCTGTTAGATCCCATAATTTAGACAGTCATTCTCCTGTCTCTGTCAGATAACTTTACAGATAATGGCAGATTAAACATACATGTTCCCCTCCCTCAAATAAATTTGGAGTCTTGACAAAGCATTTTGTTTTCTATTTCCTGGAGACATCTGGTAGAATAGATCGTTTCTGAATAGGCAAATACAGAAATAATTGCTGCTTGCTAGGCCCAGATAGTCCTAAGGACAATGGGGTACTGAAATGTTAGCCTAATCGAGGACTTCTCAACCTGTGCAACATGACTAGAATTCTGTAAACATTCTCCATGAAAACCTGAAACCATGCAAAACTTGCTTAACATTTAAAGTCAGGATGGTGGAGCAGGCATACAGAGAACCTCGTCATGTGAAGCCCGGTGTAAAAATAATACACCAAAAATTAGTTACAACTCCCTTCCCAAAGCTTTTTTGGAACAGGTGTAAGGAATTACTATTGAAGTGACAGGCCATACGTCCCTGGAATCCAGCAATTTCCCAAATGTTAGGTCCTGTTTAAGAAACAGGTTTTTATTGGTTTTACAAAAAATTGCTCTGTGGCCTCATTTATACCGCTAAAGCTCCACTGACTTCAGTGGAACTTCTGATTTATCTCATGTACAGTGAAGTCAGAATTAAACCCCATATTTCTTTCCTCCAGTGTATATTTATTCCTCTGATGAGTCTAGAGACCTGAAGGACTTACTGACCAGATGAGCCTGTTAAATCTGCAAGGTTGTTGTGAATATCATATCTATGTATCAAGGATCTCCCCACTTCTTAACAACCTCCCTCAGACTTCCCAATGAGCTGCCTCCTTCAGACAAGTCCTCAAGCCATCCCTTCTTTGCATGGAAGATCTGTAAGGTAGCAGAAAAGACGACAAGGGGACTGCTTGACACTTTTCTCTCACTGTCCCATGCACGGCTCTCCAGTGCCATTGGAAACAGTACTTGCATGTTCTAACCTTTCATTTTCAATGTCCCAGTTTTCAGTCTGAAAACCTGATTACCATCTTTGCCTCTAATTCTCTTCAGATGCCAAAGCAATTTACAAACCATGTGTTGATTCTCACAGCAAATCCTTTGAAGTTAGGGATGTTAAAATGTGTTTAATTAAGTAATCATGTAACCACTAAAAACGTCAGTAGTTACACAGTTACATGCCAGGGACAGGTGGTTCCTGCCTGCCACCTCATGTTGCTGCCTCTGTATCAGAGGTAGTAACATTGGGGTGGGAGGGCTGCGTGTAACCATGCACATTAACTGATGAGCCTAGGCTTATCGGTTAACTGTGTGCATGGTTACACTTTCACAACTCTATCTGAAGCATTAAAAGAATTTGGGGTAAGGATACTGAGGAGAACCAGTTTTAATATACAAGACAAAACTGGCATTTTGCTGCCTCAGGCAGCAAAAGTTTGGTGCATCTGAGGAGTAAGGGTTGTGAATAGGCCCACCGAGGAGGGGGAAGAGGAAGAAGGGGCAATTGCTGTTACTGAAACAGCAGCTGGAGCTTCAGGCCCTTTAAATCACTGCTGGAGTGCCATACAGGGTGTGTCTGAGGGATGGGAATAGTGGCACGGTCCTAGTGACGCTGAGGGCTGGCTACCATTAGCCTTGCCCCTTCCAGTGCAGGTCCCGCCTGTTCTGGGGCATGCCCCCCAATACACCCACACTAATTGCCTGCAGAAGCTGTCATCTCCTCTAGTTGTAAATGTCTGAATATTGGGTCATGGTAGAAAAGAGATTCAAACTTTGGCTTAATGTTATATTGTGGCATTGCTGCACACATCTTTATAGCACTGGACACATAGGTATAGATTCAACAGCAAAGTCTGCAACACAATATCCATTTCTTTCTGTGAAGATGTTACATGCAGATTATATGTACATATTCACAACTCTCTCACTAATAACTTTGCTAAGTAGGTACCACTTTTTCTGTCATTTACGGACTATATCAATTGAGAATGAAACTATCACTTAAGAGCAATACTTTTTTCTAGAATATCCTATTTATAATGAATTTTTAAAATACCTATCAAACCCAGAACTCTTAAAGATGACATTGAAATAAACTGGTAAATTTGATCTCCGACTAAAACTTACCCAAGCTCAAGCTGCCGACATATGACTGAGGCATCATTATTGTCCCAGTGACTACTGCAGATTGTTCCCCAAATTCCATTTAAATAAACTTCAACTGTACCTTCAAACTCATTTTTGCCACCTCGAAGTCGCACTGACCCTAGATAAAAGAGAATTGTAAATTCTTTAAATAAGATATTTGCTGTCACTGACTGAGTTAATTTGTGTTATTTGTAGGACATGTAGTCTCCGTTCACTCTATGATGAACCCTATTTCATGTATCATGCACTTGCTTCAAGTTTATTGAAGAGGTTGCTTCTAATTAGCACTCTCCAGTATCTTATAATTCGTTTCTGATGACTCACAAAAGGAGGTAACTGATTCCACACAATAATTTATTGAGGAAACATCTTGGTTCTATTACTGAAGCCAAAATATCAAAAATATGGGGAGAGAAAATATATGCACATATCAATATAAATGTGATGTCTTTACATGAATGTTTTTAACATAATCAACAATGTTACAAAAAGGAGACAAAATATTATACACAAGTGCTATATTTTTACCTTCCATCTGATTTAAAGTAATTATAAAACAATCTCATGGATTGCATAGCTTCTGCACTGACCCATATAATAGTATGCATGTCATGGATGCCAACAGTTTATTTCAGGCTAAAGAATGCTTTTGTATTTACTTGCCCTCAAACACATGATGTAGTTCTTACAAATTCATTATAGGCCTCTATCAATTCCCAAATAAAACAACCTAAAAATGTAACTATAACACACACAGTCCTTGCATGTGTATCACCAAAATACATGTTAAGAACATAGAAAACAAAGTCAAGAAATGGAATAGGATTATAGTAGATACCACATTATTCTCTGTCCAGAAGTGTAAAAACTTCTTATAGCTACCGTACATGCAATTCAAGCACCAAATGTAAAACAATCATAATGATATTTGTTATTGTACAAAGGGAGAGCAAACAATGAATGGGCCATAAAAATGCTACTAATTTGACAAGATAATATATTGCACTTATTAAATACCATGGATAGGTACAGCATGAAATAGCAGGTGATCCACCTGCTTGTACTCTGTTCTATTTAATAGCATAAGATAGTCCCTCTTCCAATTGAAAATCTTTCTCTTTATTATAATGGCTAGGCTAAATTTTTGTTCCTTCCCTACAAATGTCACTGTAAGTCTATTTTGTTTTTAATTCTGTTCTCAAGAGTTAGAAAACCTTGACAGTAAAAGTAGTTCAAGTCCTTTACCCCAAATCTGGTGTATGCTCTCGTTTTGTTCATGATGTATGTTCACAGCATGTTATACAATAATATACTCAATTTTATAAGATGATCTTTTTTACAGAATACATTATGTTATAAAAGGTTTAATTATAAAAATAGTATATAAAAGCACTGAAATAACAGTATTTTGAAGACTCTACATCTGGATAAATCAATAGTTTACTCTATAGCCTTCCCTTTCAGACACACAGATATAGCCAGCTACACACATTGGAATTTTATCATCTATTTCTGTTTTAGCTCCTATTTCCAAAACCCTTTTGGATAAACCATTATTTTAATCACAAGACAACTGCAGACACAGCAATATTTAGAACAAAGTGATTCCAGACATGCAAAAAAAAAAAAAAGCTTTAAATGTTGTTCTTAAAAAAATAAAATTATCTTTTTCCTTTCACAATTCTGTGAGACAGCCTCAGAGAGCAGTAAGAGTATTTCCTGTGTAAATATTGCAAGACCTTTCTATTATCTGGATAAGTAAATACTCGAAGAGCAAAATCCTCCTTTTATGAACTACAAGGCAGATCTTGACTTAAGTAGTCAAGATTAACTCTGCAAACTGGAGAATTTTGCCCTAAAGCTTGACATCCTTTGCTTGTCTAACATTGCATAAAATAACAGTCAGGATAAAATTATCCAAATTGTATAAGTTCTCTACAAAAGTTTTATTTACAGGATGTTTGTTTGCACAATAAAGTGATACCGTACTTGCATGTACTTCATATGTATGTAATGCACCCTAAAGACGTGTGACTCATGTCATAATTATGTAGTGGATAAAATAAGTTAACCAATGAACTAAAACAACTTCCCCCAAAGTTTACTTAACATGTTGCAGTATTCTGGCAGCTGCTACTCTAAATTTGACTCCCTGGATTTATATGGTTTTAAAATATCCATATGACAAAATGTGATACGTAATTTATATAGGACGCAATAGAGCTAACTTTAAAAAAACACATTAATCTTTTAAACCTTTTTGAGAGTCTGGCTGTTTTTTCTATAGATAAAACACTCTTGATTTTGTAATAGGCGTGGTCTCCTCATATAAGATATATGATGTATCACAATAGAACAAGAAATTACATTTATCAATACTTGTATATGTTCATAACATATTGGTAATTAGCTATTCATTAATATACCCTTATAGAGAATAAATGGTCCATGCTAATGTATTTTCCAGAGCGTAACTGATTCTGTGCATGCATGTAGGCCGCCATCCAGCTTCTGCTAAGTCAATGGGAAAATATCTGACATTATTCCAAAATAACATAGTCTGCATCTACACTACAGTAGTTATTTCAACATAATGTTGAAATAATATTGAGATGGAGGACTTCTTACTCTGACTACTGTAACCCTCATTTTATGAGGAGTAAGGAAAGTCAGAGGAAGAGTGCTCTAACTTGGACTTCCTGCTGTGTAGACAGCACCAACAGCTGAAATAAGCTATTTCGACTTAAGCTACGCAATTGATGTGTGGTGTAGATGTGCCCTTAATTACAAGAAAATAATTTAAAAGGACATCACCTTAAGAATCATGTATTGTAAACCTAAACCTCAACAAAATGTTACTGGGAGTACCTTAAAAGAAAATGAAAATGTAAAAGTTCAACTTACTTTTCTCTCTCCTGGATTTTTTTGGGGGTTTTTTTTTTTTTTTTGGTCAATTTTCATCTTGAAAATTTAACAAGTCAATTTCACTTTTACAGTTTCAATTTCAGACAAGCTGTTATGCTTAGAACAGAAAACACAGGGGCAAGTCTGTTTAAAAGTCATAAGAGTTCACTGGAATGTTTATAAATTGTATTATAAAAGCTTGCTTTTTTACAAAATTTAAATTTTTGCCCAAAATTGTGGAAATAGAGACAATGTTATGACCTAGTTTTGCTATCGTAAATTCAAGTAAAAAAATTACTAAGTTTTTTCCTGAGAATAAATTGCAGGACTTGGGGAGGAAAAGGCAGATTAGAAATAAATTTAATAAATCCTGCACAAGCCTCCATGTCTGCTTTGGGTCCTGCCATGAGGACAGGGGACTGGACTCGATGACCTCTCAAGGTCCCTTCCAGTTCTAGTATTCTATGATTTTAATCTGTTACCTCCTGAGCTTGTATGGAAAGAACTGAAAATGTCATAATGTGCTGGTCAAGATATGTATGAAGGGATTATAACATTCTCTCTTCTTTAGCATGCACAGAAGTGAAGAACCAGCAGGCGTTAAAATGTATTCCTTCCTCCCCTCCCCCAAACTACTCATTCTTTCACCAAGGGAGAGGGCTTGTGGCCTTACAGAAAAGAAAGAGAGAGATACAGCTTGCTAACTAAGGGTTCATATGCCCAGATCTAACCTTCGTCTTCCCTCGGCATTATAAAGCAAGATGCTCCCTAGAGCAAGGCTGCCATAGAAGCCAGGCTCATTTACTGTTTCCCTAGCAGTTGTGCATTATCCCATCTCTGGAGGGGATACAGGGTCTGGAGTAGAGTTACCTCTGGTAAAGCAACATTACCTCATGTGTGAATTTCTGCCTAAAATGCTGGTTTAGTGGAAGAGAAGAATTAATTTTAAAATGGTGATTAAAAAAACTCATGGAATTTTCAACAAATCAAAAAAATAATAAAAAAACAACCAGTTTTCATACAAAACTATTTGGATTAATAGCTGTAGATGCAGATATAACTAAAAAGTAAAAGTGGAAACAGAATTAGATGAAGATGTAAATGCCCTGTGGTTATAGAGTCAAGTGTTCTCATCAGAATCTGTTTCACTTACTTAAAAGTAAGTTTCTGTCTTTGTTGATTGCAAAGAAAATATTGAAAAAGTGACCTGAACCTAACTAATACAATGAGGTCTCCCAGGTCTATAGGTTCCTGGAGACAATGCTGTAAAAGGTGCATCCCAACTGACTGTTGTCAAGACTCACTGTTCTAAGGAGCACAATCAACACTACCCCAGTACAGGACTCTGTGGTAGCCCCTGCCCCCTTTGCCCTCTTTTTCCCTAAGGTAGTTTGATGCCCTGCTTCTCTCTACAGTACAGTGGTCCACTACTGTCATCCAATATGCTCTCAATGGAAGAAAGACCTTGTTGCTAATCTTGGGAGGAAGAAGTAGGGGGCTCTGCCTGTCTGGGAAACAGGAAAGCTCCATGACATGGGGATGAGGCACAAGGGCAGGGCTACTGAGTAAGGTAGAAGGTGGTGACCTAGTCTGCCTTAATCAAGTCCAGAATGGAAGAAAGAGGACTAGAAAATCACATATACAGAACTATAAACTCTTAACAGAAACTCCCTTTTTCTTCTATATGATTTATTTTACTGAGGAAAAACATTTGCATTGTGTTTCTCAATCAGTTTCACCCAAGGTTATTGACAGTTAATGTGTTTATAAACAGTTTGGCAATTTTAGTTGCTCTAGGATCTGCCCTGAGTCAGATGGGTTTCATAACTGGTGCTATCTTTTAAACCAAGTTGGGTTTGCTTCTAACAGCAAGTAAGTTTATCTGCTTGGCTGTTGCTGAGACTTGCTCTGCAACACCTGCCACACAGGCTCAGGATAAGACACAGAGAAAAAACTTTCAGCCAACTTTTAATTAGCACTAAAGAACAGATGGTCTTCATGTTTCTTGCAGCTTGTAAACAGTACGGCTGTACCACTTACCTCTCTTGTTAATTTGCTCCTAAATCAAGATTCTAGGTGTCTATATTCTACATCTCACCAAAAACAAGTATCAGTATAGATTAATGTGAATAAAATGAGATGAGGATCACTTCCAGTTGCTTATGTGCAAATTTTACAACACGTGTTCATGGTGTTAGCTAAAGGTGTGTCAGC